GCCCCTTTCTTCCACCCATCCTTTCTTCCTCCCCCCCCTAGTCCGTTCTTCTCCCGGTTCTCCTCGTCTTCTCGCGTCCGGTCGAAGCTCAACCGGAACGTCAAAAGTCATTGAAAATCCCGGAGGTCTCGTGCAAAATTGATCCGCCGCGTGGATTTCGTTATCCGCGACCCGCCAGTACTTTGAATTTGGAAGCAGCGTCGTCGTCCCAAAGAATCCCGAGTGAAACGAATAATCGTGAATAACAATATCTGAACAATACCAGCCAGTTGTCATTCACAGTCATTCACAGATTCGTTTCTAAGAAGAAAGGAGATTTCTAAAAAATGGAAATTCATAAGAAGAGGAAATGCAATTGCAGCAGATTTTTTTTCACCGCAACAGAAAGAAAAGAAAAAAGAAAAGAGAAACTTGCAAAGTTTCCGTATCGCGTCATAGATTTCATTTTGTTTTAATTCATTTCATTTCATTTTTTTTTTTTCATCGCACGTTTTCAGGGCCCTAGGACCATTACCATTTTCGTGTCACATCCTGCCGTACCGACTCGGGCAGTTTTTGCATCGCAGCGCCACCAGTGGTGAGAATTGAAATGAAAAGATATGGACAGCGTTGCCATGTCTGTTTCGAGAATTATTTATCGAATTGATGAATTCTGCTTCATCAATGAAGGAATACAATAACAGATTTAAAACGGAGATTGATGAAAATTGAGATGAAAAATTTAGTATATTATAAATTTAGTAAAAGTGTTAGAAAAGAGTGATTAAATAATATATTTAGACGTATCAAGAAAATATTTCTGCGCGTTGTAAATTATTTCTTCCAAATCATCCGCTTTCGAAAATTTCGAAGTGTCAAATTCATTTTCTCAAACGATATTATACGCTTTCTTTCCTTTTTTTTATTTTTTTTAGTACAATGTTACTTGTTAAGATGAATTCACTCAGCTGCACTCTCACTTACTATTATAAATTGTTAATAAAAATGATACAAAGTGATATATACGTTAGCATTTAGGATTCATCAGAAATTTCACAGTACAGTGAATTTTTAGAAACTTGAATTAAGATTTTTCGTATATAAGTAAAAGTGTATTAATTTATTTCGTATACAAATAAGAGTATTTAAGTACATAACTAGAATTAAGATTTCTCGTATATAAATAAAAGTGTGTCAATTTATTTCGTATGTAAATAAGAATATTTAAGTAGTACATAACTAGAATTAAGATTTCTCGTATATAAA